CCCCATCTGGTTTTGCAACCCTCTGTCTTCTCTCTCTCTCTCTCTCTCTCTGTCTGTCTCTGTGTGTGTGTGTGTGTGTGTGTGTGTGTGTGTGTGTGTGTGTGTGTGTGCACTTTTCGCTCTGTAGTGTCCCTGGTTGCACACCTGTGAAGGGGGGGGAGGAGGAATGACGACTTGGTTTAGCGGAATCGAGTTATCTCAGCGGAACAAGATTAAGAGTATATTTGATGACCTGGGAGCGAACTTTGAAGTAGGTAGGGTAGGGTAGGGTAGGCAGGGTCGTAAGCGATTTCCCCCGTGTTCATGATTTTCTTCTGAATGATCTTTGCTTATCCCTCCGGGCCTTACATGTCGAAGAAGCTGTTTCATCATGATTTCCTTGCGTTCTCAAAGGAAATATGGGTGGAAATTAAATTGTTCATCCTGTACGGTTGATATAATTGGTACTCGTGATTGATTTGTTTCTATTCTCACTGTTGGAGAATCTTTTTCATTTGCGCAGTTGTCGTGTGTGTGTAATCAGAGCTTTCAACCGTTTTTTGGCCCGTGTCCAAGCAGAATTGTGGGACTGAGTCAGACCGAGTGCTCTTTCTTTCTATATGTTATCGTCTTCCTCTTGTGATGAGTTGGTCGAAGTCGAAACTGTCGGTGTTGTTTCTTTATCTCTGGTCTTTCTTTTCTCTCTTTTTTTGTTTTTTTTTGTTTTTAATCATATTCCCTCATTTGTCCCGTGACGACTGTGTTTTTTTGTATTTTGTATTTTTGTTTTGTTTTTTAATCTTGTCGTCTTTCTCTCCTTGATGAGTCGGTGAAACTCCGGACTGTCAGTGTTGGTTCTTTATGTTATGGTATTTCAGTTTTTTTTTTTTTTTTTTTTTTGTGATATCATGCCGAAAGTTGAAACTGCGTGGTCCCAGTTAAATTAAGACTCCCGAGTTGTTTTCCAGATCTCAGTCCCATTGGGACTCGAAGTGAAGTCTGTATTTCGGCAGCAGATGGGTGTACCAACTGAACTAGCCCCATTGCTGCGAGTTATGGTCTTCTTTTTTTTTGTTTTTTGTTTGGGAAAATTGCATCTGTGCCCCATTTAAAGATGACAATACGCACTATATCCAGCCCCGGTGTCCAACTTGCGTCATTACCCCGGAAAATTGTCTGGGCAAATTGTTTGTATACCCAGGATGAAGGGGGGCCAAGGTTGGTACTGCCACAGCTATACCCAACTACGGGAATGCCAATTTTGCACATACCCAGGTAAATTATGGGCCTTCCCAATTTAGCCTGCTCGGTTCATGAGCATAAGCGTAATTTAGTGCTCCTCAACCAAGGGCCTGTGGGACTGGGTATGCGAATAAGTTGGTGCATGGGAAAAATAGGGTAGGGTATTAACTCAAGTTGGACAGGGTCTGGGTATCATATAGATGCAAGGTGGGCGCTCGACTGGGCATAGCGGGTATTGCCAGCTTTAAGAGGGGCACAGATGCAATTTTCCCATCTGTTTTGTTTCTACTAATGAAGGGTAGGCTACCAGCCGGGCCGCCCAGGTCACCTTGTTTGCCAGGGTGCCCCAGCCGTGCAAGGGGGACAACGAAGGTCCCAGCACAAAATAAGAAAAAAAACAAAATCAAAAAATTGCAGTTGAAAAAGAAACTATGTTATGCAGAAATTTAACTGAATAAATTTTGCCTCAGGGTCGCATCGAAATAAGAAGAAAATTCCAAAAATTGCGGTTAAAAAAAAAACTATGGTATTCAGAAAATTTAAATGAACAAGTTCAGCCTCAGGGTCACGTCGAAAATTTTTACCAGAGTTTGAATGAGAATAAAGTATATATATACCTATATATATAAATAGTATATATATTATATATATATATATTGTGTTTGAGGTTATATGTAGTGCATGTATTGTTTTTTGACGAGATAATAAGATGTGTATCGTCGAACAGAGCTGTATATGTTTCGCTGGCTCGTGATGGGGTGTGAACGGACAGTCTGTAGAGTTTTTTTAACTTTTTTTCCCATCTGGTCTAGGTGAGTGATAGTCTACTTTGATTTTCGTCACAGGTAGATTGAGGGCAGTGATTGGTGGTCCCCACCTCCTCAGAGGGGTATCAGTTGTCGGGCAGTCGTTGATGCTTAATCATAAAACCGGCGTTAAGGTGGATTATCATTTACAGTGTGTAATCAGTTAGGGGATTCTGTAGACTGTCGGAGTGTTCAGCCTCTACTGATTGAGAAGTCGGTGAAACTCCGACGAAACAGTTTGTCACAGCCCTCTCTGCCGATGCTTTACGGGGCAGTTTGTCACAGCCCTCTCTGTCGATGCTTTTTTTTGAAATGCCACTTCACCCAACCCACCCAAAATTTTCTTAGTACATGCAACCCTTAAAGAAAAAAGAAAAAAAAAGGTTTGAAGCTGATCCAACCCACCCAAGCATTTTTTTGAATTTTTCTGCCCACGCCCAACCCGCCTGCCACCTGTAAAAAAGGTTCACCCAGACCCACCCGCACCCGCAAGAAAATCATTGTCCGCCCGCACCCGGGATGTAGTCACCCGCAGTCGGTCGTGCCCGCTATTGTCTATCCCTTCGAATATTTACAGACAATAGGACATTATGACGTGGCATGAAAAAATCAAACACGCTCCACAGACACACACAGAGAGAGAGAGAGAGAGAGAGAGAGAGAGAGAGAGAGAGAGAGAGAGAGAGCTCTGTCTCTCTCACAGGAATCGCCCACATCGCGGCCTTGCCTCTCTCTCTCTCTCTCTCTAGCATCGGATTTCATGCCTGAATCGGAGTGTGTTTGTCGAGAGATGCGAAAAAGTGGAGTCTCTCTCTCTCTCTCTCTCTCTCTCTCTCTCTCTCTCTCTCTCTCTCTCTCGTGCGCGCGCGCTCGACTGCTGCTCACTCGTAGAAGCACTGTTGCTCCCCAGGCCGTCGGTGCGTGGCTCCCCAGGCCGTCAGTGCATGGCTCGCAGCCACGCTGTTGCTCCCCAGGCTGTCGGTGCGTTGCCCCCCTCCTCGCTGCCCCACCACCTCCTCCCTGCTGCTGAACCACGCACAAGTTGTGTCGTAGCTGGATGATGGCGCCAAAATTCAAAGCGCTCCAGAAGTTCAAAAGTGGGGAGCGAACCTTGCCACCTGTTGTGGCTAGTTTCGCCCCCTGTTGTTTTAATGGGAGCGAAACTCAGCATCCCGTATGAAAGCGGTAAGTCATCCAAACGTGGGCCGTGGTGCAGCCACCAAGAGACAAGAGCAGCATGGGAAAAATTTGATAGAAGGTTCCTGCTTATTTTTTTTAGGAGGACCTCGACCTTTTCTTTTTTTTTTCCAGGCATGCCGACGACGGGACTTGACATTTCATGCGTGCACCTTCGACTTTTTTAGGCGGGTGGACATTTCGTGCAAGGATCGGGAGGGGGGGGGGGGGGGGGGGGGGGGGGGGGGGCGTGTCCTCATGGGTTGTCCTGGGTCTGTGGGTCGGGTGACCCAGGCCTAGCACTCACCCACCTGTCACCCACCCACTCGCGTGACCCAGGCCTAATGTTGACCCACCTGTCACCCACCCAGGCTGCCTGGCCTTGACCCGCCCTCATCCCACCCAGGTCACCTTATCAAGACCCACACCTGACCCAATGTCCTCGTGGGTGGGGTGGGTGGGGGTGCGTGCGGGTCTGGGTACCCGGTGCTCATCTCTGCTCTCCATCCATGGTTGGGGGCAGCATTGAGCGTCACGAAGGGAACTGGTCAGTTTTCTTGAAAGGTGCAAGCTTAGAGGTGTGAAAAACAGGGTAAGTGCGAAGGTGTCCAGGAATCCGAATAACATATGAAGGTCCGTCTGGTTCATCCCCAACTACATCTAAAACCTCCCACGGTCCAAAGTACTGTGGCATGAGCTTTCGGGAAATCCCGTGCTCCTGTCCCAGTTCATAAGCCTTGACCCAGACCCTGTCCCCTACCTGAAACATAGATGGGCGACGGTGCTTGTTCTCAGATTCGATCATAGCCGCCTGTGCTTTGTGCATGTGCTCTATTGCATGCTGCATATGATTCTCATATCTATAATCGAATTCCAAAGTGCCTGGAGCAGTAGTAGGCTGGTTCTCAGGTAGCAGAAAGTCAAGGGGAAGTCTGGGTTTGAACGTTAGAAGTAGGCTATTAGGACTTACTCCTGTGACACTATGAACTGCGTTGTTGTACAAGCTGGCGATGAGAGCAAGCTTCTCATCCCAGTCCACTTGATTAGGCTTAATGTAATGCCTCAACAAGTGTTGAACAGCGCGGTTCATCTGCTCTGCTTGTCCATTTGCCTCCAGATGATTTCCAGATGTCATCTGCAGCTGCATTCCTTGTTCTACAGCTGCGGCCTTCCACAGTTCACAGGTGAATCAGACATCCCTGTTGCTGATTATAGACTTCGGCAGACCAAAGTCTCTGGCCCAGTTCTCCTTAAATAGCTTGATAACGTACTCGATCTTTGCTGTCTCCGGCATGGTCACTAATCTAGCATACTTACTAAATCTGTCCATGATGACATAGATATACCTCATGCCACTCTTGCTGGTGACCAGCGTATCCATGAAGTCCATGGACAGGCTTTTACCAGGCCTTTCCAGAATGGGAAAGAGCTTGAGCAGCCCAAGAGGAGCCTGTGTCCGGGGCTTATCCCATTGACAAACTTGACAAGTCTTGACATAGAGTTTGGCATCTCTCATCATCGTGGGCCACCAGAATCGCTGCAGCAAATTGGCTGCAGTCTTCTTGAAGCCAAGGGGAAGTCTGGGTTTGAATGTTAGAAGTTGGCTATTGGGACTTACTCCCGTGACACGATGAACTGCGTTGTTGTACAGGCTGGCGATGAGAGCAAGCTTCTCATCCCAGTCCACTTGATTAGGCTTAATGTAATGCCTCAATAAGTGTTGAACAACGCGGTTCATCTTCTTTGTCTGTCCATTTGCCTCCGGATGATTTCCAGATGTCATCTGCAGTTGCGTTCCTTGTTCTACAGCTGCGGCCTTCCACAATTCATTGCTGAATCCGACATCCCTATCGCTGATTATAAACTTCGGCAGACCGAAGTCTCTGACCCAGTTTTCCTTAAATAACTCGATAACGTACTCGATCTTTGCTGTCTTCGGCATTGCCACTAATCTAACATACTTACTTAATCTGTCCATGATGACATAGATATACCTCATGCCACTCTTGCTGGTGACCGGTGTATCCATGAAGTCCATGGACAGACTTTTACCAGGCCTTTCCAGAATGGGAAAGGGCTTGAGCAGCCCACGAGGAGCCTGTGTCGGGGGCTTATCCCATTGACAAACTTGACAAGTCTCGACATAGAGTTTGGCATCTCTCATCATCGTGGGCCACCAGAATCGCTGCAGCAGATTGGTTGCAGTCTTCTTGAAGCCAAAATGTCCGGTGGCATCATGACACTCGCCTAAGAATAAACTACATAAAGACTCCCTATTAGGCACACACAAACGTTTATTCCCAACCTTCTCAAGGAAGAGCAAGCCGTTGACCAACTCAAACTCGACAGAAGTCACTTTGTCCTTCGCCTCGAGTCTGCGAATGATCTCAGACATAAATGGATCCTCGCAATAGGCTTCCACCGTAGAACGAGTGACATCGTCCGCAAGCCCGAACTCAGTGATCAGCGCACCAGAGAAGTCAGACCTACGTGATAAGGCATCAACAACTTTGTTGTACTCCCCCTTCAGATACTGGGGTCCGAAGTCATACTGTTCAATGACCTCGATCCAGCACTTCAAGGCATCAGAGAGCACAGGCTGAGTTCTCATCCACTTTAGGGTCTGGTGATCAGTCCTGACGATGAAGAACCTCCCAAGGAGATAATGCCGCCAATGGGTCAGTGCCTTGTAAATCGCGTAGAGCTCCTTCTCATAGGTGGACTTAGCCTACTTCTAAGAGGGCATCTTTTTGGACATGTATTCGACTAACCTCAACTTCGGCCCCTCCTGTTGCGTGAGCTATGCCATATTGGCTAGCATCTGTGGTGACTATAAACGACTTATCAGGATCGGGAAGCTTCAAGACCTCATGGTGTGTCAAGGCATGCTTCCGATGTCTGAAAGCAACCTTACACCTGTCTGTCCACTCCTGCGGGGTGTCAAGGCGGGTCAGGTCAGTCAAAGGAGCGACCACTATGCTATAGTTCTTAACAAAGTTACGGTACTAGCCGTTCATACCTAAGAAATACCCCATCTAAGTCACGAACTGAGGACGTGGCCAGTCACGAATGCTGGCCACCTTCCCGTCATCAAGCTTCAAACCCTTCGCGGAAATATCATGACCCAAGTACAAGATACGGGTGCGGCCAAACTCGCACTTCTCACAATTAATCTTGAACTTGTGTTATCGAAGGAGACTAAGGACTTTGTTTAAATGAGCTACGTGCTATTCGACAGTCCTACTAAAGATAAGTATGTCATCGAGGTACACGATAACAAACTTGTCCAAGTAGTTATGAAAGATCCGATTCATCGCGTGCTGAAACGTGCCAGGAGCATTGCAAAGGCTGAAAGGCATCACCACAAACTCGTACAGACTGTACCTGGTCTGAAATGCGGTTTTGTGTTGATCCTCGCCGTATAGCAATCTGATGGTACCTTGACTTCATATTTATCTTACTGAGGTACCGACACCCTTGCACTCTATCTAACAAGTCGTCGATGCGTGGTAGGGGCTTTCGGTTCTTGACAGTGATGACATTGAGGCCCTTATAGTCAATGCACATCCTCAGAGTGCCCTTCTTCTTTTGTACGAATAGGACTGGAGAACCATAAGGAGAGACACTCGGTCAGATCCATCCCTTCTCTACAAGTTCCTTGAGTTGCCGGCGAAGTTCATGAAGCTCGCCTGGAGACATCCGATAGATCCTACCCTTCGGGATGCTAGACCCTGGGATAATCTCTATCGCGTGGACGACCTCCCACTCAACAACCCCTGTAGGCTCTTCAAATAGATTAGGGTACTTGGCAACTACTCCCTCTATCTCCGACGATATTTCCACTGGCTCGCGTGCTACAGTGACCCTCCTCCGGATTCTGCTTATAATAATTGTAGAACGCGACCACACACATGCATCCGTAGGACTCGATCAGACTTTAAGCCTTAAACTTACGTAATTTGGCGGTCCCCCCACCTGACAATGTGTGTTTGACCACTTTTCAGTCCCAGTCAAACTGGGGCTGTGCAACGTAGAGATAGTACATACCTAACAAGATATCCATAGGGAGCTCATCGCTCACTAGGAACGAGACGCAATGTCTCAGTTCCCCTCCCACGTACGGGAAACAACACTCAACATCCTTGGGGTAGTCGTTGCCTACCATGCGCTGTTTGTTGGCACAGGTCGACTCCAAAGGTCGACTCAGGCGCTGCACTTGCCCCTGTAAGTGCAACATCTCAACGCACGCTCGACTAATGAAGTTCCTAGTCGAGCAAGTGTCATAATAGGCCCCGGCCTTGCGGCCGTTGATGACTACCTCGCCGACGAACATCTCACGCTTAGGGGCTTTTTCCAATGCCGTCCAAGAAGCTAGCGGGTCTGATCTAGACCACTCCTCCTCTAGCTCCTCTAAGGACTCAAACACATTCATCGAGCAAAGGTTCGATGGGTCTGAATGTGTTTGTGGGACGACGATAGAGTCAGTAGCTTAGACCATCTCTCGAGATGGTGAGGGTGTGTCCACCACCTCGACCCTTGCAGGAACAACTAGTATTTCTACTGGCCCGACGTGTTTCCCGGAGCGGTGCTAGAACTGTTGGCTACATTGCTGCCAACGGGAGCGGAGGATCCCAATGCCTGCCCCATCGTAGGCGGGATCATTTTGGTCACCTTCTTGTTTCGGCACTTGAACTGGTTATGACCGTATTGGCAATAATGGATACAAGCGTGCCGCGTGTACCGATCTCTCCACACGTCCTCACTAAGACCCGCTTTCTCCCATGGAGGAGCATTGGGGTTAGCTTGACTCCTTGACCGGTAACCTCCTCGGCGTTGTCGGGCGCATCGGTCCGGCACCGCACGCGGCAATGCGGGACCCTCTCGGCCACGTGACGCAGGAGTTGGACCAACCTTGTCGCGAACACATAAATGAAGCTTCCTTAGGCCGCTCCGACCGAGTGCGCCAGCCATACCTCTCGCGAGYCCCGACGACAGGATAGGGCCTACGCGAGGCACAACTTACCTCCACCATACGGGAGCTGTCACCTCCCTTCGGTGGGCGTATCCCCGCCGAGCTACCAGTTCACAGTACGAAAGCTGATCAGTTGCAATCGCAGAGGTGGA